TCCGGGGGAGCCCAGGTCTACCCCTGCAATTTGAAGGGGTTGGTAGACCTGGACTCCTCCAGAGGCCAGGTCTACCCCTGCAATGGAAAGGGGTTGGTAGACCTGGACTCCTTCGGAGGCCTGGTCTACCCCTGCAATGGAAAGGGGTTGGTAGACCTGGCCTCCGGAGGGGGGGTGCTCCAGGGCAGGGGGAGGGGAAGATCAAGCCAGGGGGTGGAGGAGAGGTGGAGGAGACGGGGAACCGGCGGGATAGGGGATCCGGCGGGATAGGGGGGGAACTTCCCTCCTCCTGCTGCTTCCTCCTCTTCCTCATAGGTGTGGAGGTTCCCCTCTCCCGCGAGTATCACGGGTCCCCCACTTGTTATATTATATTATTTAACACAATGGCTGAACTTCCATTTATGGCTAATTTACTAAACTGTATTTGATATGATTAATTGTATTTAACCACTTTCTGCATATGTCCCCACACAGTACCTACATATTTATTGTTTCCCAGCATTGCGCCCATTAAACCACTTGAATAAAATCCAATAATATATGGCCAGTAAAACATGTATAAACAAAGCATGAATCATGCCATTGGGCACAATCCACCAGTTCTCCAGTGCAAGTTTGTTTGTTTTGCTTTTTTTTTTTTTACATGAATGGACATAGAGTAACAACACAGTAACATGACCAAGCTGCTTCCACTCAATTGGAGAAGAATTTTCGGGTCATTTGTATCTATGGTCAATCCAGTCAGATTAAGCTGTCTATAAACAGACCTATACTTATTCTAGGCTCCACTTGCTGTACAAGTATTGTACAGAGTTTGCTTTCCTGAGAAACACAGCTCTCATGTTTTCTAAATGGTATTTCTAACCCTACAATTGTACAAAATGTTTTAAAACATGCAGATAGTGTCTAGTGTAGAGATTCCTCAGAAGTTAAAGGGAAATGGGGCTGGCTGTGCAACACTGCTTAACGGCACTTTAAAGGATCAATGTTCAATGGGGAACAATGATGCTGGCATAGAAGTAACTGAATCAGCTGCCATATGTGTGTGTGTTTGTTTGTTTGTGTGTGTGTGAAGGTACCTTCTATAGAGTTAGACCATTGGTTTATCTAGCAGACTAATAATTTCTTCAAATTCTAGCATTTTTCCAAGACTTGAGCAATGTGATTGATTCCTATAGTACTTTGGAACACCATGAGAAGCAGAAATTGGAAACAATTCTTGTATTACTTAAAAATATGAACCATACCTCACAGAGCCCGTATAAAAATATGACTGAAGTGATGTAATTGGAATACTAATGAGAAAGATGAATTTAGCTGAGGAATTTTGAATAATGCATTAAAAAACTTAACAGTATATCACTTATGATCAATACTGTCACAGTTTGTAATTTCTGGTTTGCAATTACTATTCTGGATACATACTGTCTTATAAGCATTACTTATTTTCTCAACTGATCATACAGAGTTCCCTGTAATGTGTTTAGTATCTGGATCTGGACCGTCTTTCAGCTTTTGTGTGTGTCTAGCTATTGGTTACAAAAACATGTTTACTTGTAATTGTAATTTGTTAATTGTGTGTTTTCTTATTTTCAGTACAGGAAGTAGTTATCTGCCATATTAAGTACTTTTGTAGCATCAAGTACTTTTGCAGAAATAGAAAGAGAAGGTGTTTTATCCTACTTTACCATTCTCAAACATTGATCTACTAGTGACGGATAAAAACAAATATCTTCTGCAGGGGTCATTTCGTAGAAAAAGAGCTAGGGGAACTCATTAGCATAATTCATTAGCATATGCCACACCCCCTGACATCACCGGAAGTGTGTCATAAGGCCACATCCCCTGACATCACCGGAAGTGTGTCATAAGGCCACACACCCCGCCCCCAACAGTCCCGGCCGCCGCCGGCAGCAAGCCCCATGAGGGGCCCGGCGGTGGACCTGCAAGGCCGGCGGGAGTGCAAGGAAGCCCCGCAAAGGCCCTCCTTGGCCCCAGGCAGGCAGGGGTGGGGAGAGGCAGGGAGGAAGCAACTTACCCTCCCTCTTCTCCTGCCTCCTCTTGGCTGAATGAGGGCCGGAAGCGGGGCGGCCGGAAGCAGGGGGCGGGGCTTCGTCATGTGCCCCGCCCCCCGTACCTCACCTGGGGGAACTGCGTTCCCCCGCGTTCCCCCCCGAAATGACCTCTGATCTTCTGGAAGATAATAACACAAATTAAATGGTACCACAGGGTACAAGTCCACAGCTTCTCCAATGAAATCTCAGGCTGGATGATGTCCCATGTAATTCATTACAGCTGTGTTACTAAAAAGAAAATCTAGCTTCTAGAAGAACTATACAGTGTTTCATACCTGCAACAGAGCATAACTGAACAAAAAATATTGGAGAAAAACAGAAAGCCTGTGTACTGTGATATGCATTCCCTTGCAGATGATTGACAGTCAAAAGCTGTGCTTGTTTCCTCAGAAATATAGACAAGCGAGTATAGAAGTATACTCTAACAGTACTAAAACCTAAATTTGCTTTTTGTACATAGAAACAGGTTTATCAAAATTGGGCAACATGCATTTATCTTAGCTTTGGAAATCTATTCTGAAGTATTACTCTAGATTTACTATTGATAAAATGCTACTAGCTCTAGTGTCCATTTTTAATATACAAGGAAATGTTCGGTTATCGGCTTCTTGTCCCACTAAGTCACGATCTTAAATGTTTAACTTTTTTAAATACATCTTAACATTACAGCATGAAGACTGTTCCCAAGTTGATTGTAGACAAAAGGCTGATCAATACGAAGACACAGATTTCAAAGGTTTGCACACGTTATCATGGTAAGGAAGGGGCCACTAACCAGAGCCAGCTCAGCATGGAAGAGGGCTGAATCAGCTGGCCCTTCCTCCTCAAAGGACTGGGCAGTGCAGAAAAAGGAATCTTCCTTAGCAGAAACATAGCCCTCTTCTGGTGAAAGCTGCAGAAAGAATGAAGCTCTTGAGTCGGAGGATGGCCAATATTCAGACATGCAAAGTGAGTAATGTTGAGGGAATCTTAGAAAGTAGAATGATTTGTGAAGCTCAGAGGACAGATCACTGGAAATGATCTTATAGGCATAGGTGATAATTTACAAGGCGGGGGGGGGGGGAAACAGTGGGAAATTATATACTGGTGCCCAGGATTTTGAAATGTTTTTAGTCCTACACAAGTGATACCTTTACTACCAATGCTGGCATCACAAATACTGATTTTTTTTCTAGCCCTGCTGATGAATATCTGCTTTTTAAAAATAATTTCCCTAATTCCCTACATGTCTAATAAACCTTTTAAAAAAACAAACAAACAAACTGGAATTAACCATATTTCGCCCCAGTGAATTCAATCCCATTTATTCCCAGGCCCTAAAAACAACTGCTTGGAAGTAATTTCCACCGAAATCATTTGCACTTACCTCTAAGATGAAGTATAAACCAGCTTAATTATAAATAGTTCTACCTAACAGGATTGTGGATCTAACTGTAAGCCACTGAGAGAGTTATCTAAACAGACGTTTTTATAAACCTGCTATAAACTGCTTATTACCCCATCATTGCCATTTTCAACATAAACCTGATCAAGCAGGAAAATATTTGGTCAAGCATAATCCTTGTTTCCATTATCTTGACAGCAATATTTTGCATAAATAAATAAATAAAGAAGCCAATAGGAATGCCATAAAATGTGGAACATGGGCTGATATAAAACAGCAGCCTTCAGCCTTTCTAGAGCAGATGCAAGTATATGATAACAGAGCCATGTGACAGGAAAACAAGGAGCCAGAATTATGATCTCACCAATGTCAAGGCCAGGACTATGGGCAGCAGCCCCATAAACCCAGGGACAGGAAACACCAGGGAGAGATGACACCAGCAGGTGTACCTTAGTGAAGAACAAGGCAAGGGTCAGATCCCTGGAGGAATCCTCTCCATCTCACCATCTTGCTGTTCCTCTCAACATGTGCACAAAAAGAAGCAACAGCTATGGTGCCCTTGCCCTCTATGTATGAGTACTAGCAGCTAGTTTTTTCAAAAAGTTGCAAAAAATGCTGACTCTTGAGGAGCTTGCAACCAAAGTGAGGGACCTAACTCATGGTTGAAAACCACCAATTTGAAAGGTATTGTGTCTGAACTAAACAGAGGTTTGAAGAACTGGCAAGTTGGGGGGGGCAGGTAAATTGGGTAAATCGTTTAGGAGGGCAATCTAGGAATGTGCCATCACTGGAACAAAGAAATGTATGCAGATCCATGTAGTGTGGGAGTCAATGCCACTCTCACAGCATCTTCAGCTTTTTAAAAAACTACTGATTATGTATCACAGCTTAGTAGCAACAATGTTTATTTTATGGGCTCTTTCAAAATACAAGTGTATTCTGTTTCTGGGTAATACAGGCTAAAAAGGAGAGACTATTGCTAAGTTCATATTTCAATTTTTCCACAAATTTCCTGTTTAGTTTTCTGGGTGGGGAAAACTTTTCACATGGTCTCAGAGTTTTCAGAAAGGCTGCATCTCTTGGCCAAATCAGTATTTTTAATATGCAGGACACTAGAGAGGCTAAGGGAAGCAAAACAAAAATGGGGGGGGGGGACCAGTGTTTCTCCCCAAGGGTTGGTTTTCTTTCTTTCTTTCTTTTTTGGGGGGGAGTATACCTTAACATTATCATGCCCAATGAAGGCTATTCCCAAGCCAGACCAATATGCTATTGAATGACAGCACTGTTTCCATAAATCTCAAGCAGATATTTTTGCAAATTAGAGGCAGTGGGGATTGGGTCACAAATGCATGTTCATTAGTTGAAACTGCGGCATCAAGAAGTGACTGGCACATGTTTCAGTAAGTAATGACACATCACAGACAGATCTTCACATCACCTTCACACAGCCCTGACTTCGATGGCACAGGCTAGTCTAATTTCATCAGCTCTTGGGAGCTAAGCCCCTAGTTGCCCCCAGTTAGTATTTGGATGGGAGACCACCAAGGAAGTCCACGGTCGTTACAGAGAGGTAGGCAATGGCAAACCATCTCTGTTAGTATCTTGCCTTGAAAACCCCAAGATGGGTTGCCATAAGTTGGCTGCACATACACAGTTCAAACATAAAGCACATAAAGCTAACATCCTTACGGGCAGTGGCTTAGCGACTCCTATTCTAACTGTCCCCATGGGTGCTCCTTTCAGTGCTTGCACAGCTTCCTCCAGGCTGCCGTTTTCCAAGTTGATGTCATTGACAAACATGAGCCTGTCTCCTGGAAGGAGCCGGCCATCCTGTTCAGCAACTCCCCCAGGGACAAGGGAGCGGATCACAATCACTGTGTTGGCAGGGTCCACTGGGTCCTTATTAAATAAGGGGAAAAGGAGGAGAAAACCAATTTTATGAGTTCAAACAATTTAAAATAAATAAACAAACTATGAGTAAAGCTTCCTCATGAAAGACAGTGTTTAAGATCTTTACCAGACATTTTATTTCAAGGCAAGCATGGGTTTGCTCCAAACACTAATGTTAATCCATTCTTGCATGGAGCTCCTATGCGCACAAGAAAGCACAACTTCAGCTACAAAAGGCACTGTGCCATATAATAAGAAGCATTTTTTCTTTCTCATTCTACTCAGGCATATGGAAGTGTTCATGTATGCTAAAAGACTGGCAATTCCAGGCAGTGATCAGCTGAATGGCTACTCGTGATAAGTGCCTCCCTATAATTAATACTTGATCATACCCAAATATAACACTGAAAAAAATAGCAAGAATATAATGTAGTTTAAGTTTTAAAACACTTATGGAAAAGTACTTCAAGTACATCTGAGATACAATTTACTGATTACAGGCAAAAACCTTCCGTTTATGAGTTTAAGTACTACAAAGCCCTTTTTAGAAACCTGTGATCTAGGTTAAAACACTCCACTTGACCATAATAAGTAATGCAGCCTGAACCAAGAGTTTACACATCAGGTTTTTCAATATGGGATTTTCCCCTCATCGGTTCTAGCCCCACACTGCTTCAGCTTATCTCCTGACTTCTGCATGCTTTTTTGTGCCTTTAGTTTTTTGTTGCTGTTGTTATTGTTGTTTTCCCAATTTTTTTGAGATAACTTTTACCCCAAACTTTTCCTGGGAGCTGATTTTTGAGTCACCTTTTCCCTTGTGCATAATAACTCTGTGATTTTCTTCGTCCCACACATTCCCACCCACCTCCAGCCTACTTTAAATTATTAGATGGTCATCACTGTCAAACTACTCCCTCTCCTTCCCACTGAAGAAAAGCAGTTTCATTTTTTTTGCTAAATGGTACTAAAATATCAATAATAATAAAGTGTTGTAATGAGAAATTCATCAGGTTCTCTGAATTCCCAGTTTTCATTTTTAAAAAGTAAGTTTCTACTTCCCTTGTGGAGATATAAGAAAAAAGGTATATCTTAGCAAGAGAAGTGGCTAGACACTTTTTGAATGAAAGCTGAGAATTCAGAGAACCTGAAGAATCCACCACTAGAAAGTATACCAATATATCGCTATTATAGTGCCTTTTTTATCAATAAGAGCACGTGCAAAAAATAAAAAGGAGGGAGTGCTGTGACACCGCCAATGACAAAAGGATGGCCCCTTGAAAATCCTGATTATTTAAGGCACATGCATATGAAAATAAACTGACTCAACAACTGTTAAAATGCAGAGGGAGGGCAGACGTGTGGAATAACCATGTCCAGACTGATTCCAATGCTTGTGGACTGACTGCCAAGAAAACAGGGGTAAGTCAAGGAAGTGGAAAAGCCCATCTAGCTACCAGCCACCCTCCTTGCCCCACCTTAATGGAAATCAAGTTGGACAGAATCAGACATTAGAAGCGTATGAGATACTAGTATCAAGAAGATTAATTCAGCCTCATTAGATATTAAACACTGAAAACTACCATGGCATCTGTAGTAATTTATGCTATGCTCTTCAGTATAGTCATCTTTCCAAGTGATATGCTATTATTAGGTGATTACTGAAAAGTATACTATCAAATGCCTGGGATGTTAATGCGGTTTATATCTGACCTTCTATAGGCACAATTATTCTTATTATCTATGATATGAGATAATCAATTTGGAATGAAGGAACAAAAATTAGTTTTGATAATAAGGTCTGATGCTTACATTGCCTCCAAATCTTATTTAAGGGGAGACAAAATACATTGAAGTAGCTATTTCCTTTCTGTGAAACAAAGAATTCAAAAATGACCTGGTAATCCAATATGCTAAAGCCAAGTCCCATGCTCCCTTTTTCTAGCTCAATTTGCTGTATTTCTGTTTCCCACATTGCCAAAGAAGATCCCTGAACATCATCAGTGTTCTGTCCTATGTTAGCCATTTCCAAATCAGCATCATCTGTCTCTGAAGAACCAAGTAGTCCACCAAGATCTATATGAGACTGGAAAAAGATTACAAAAAATATGTAAGAAATCAATATGTAAATAAATATGTAAGAATTGTACTTCCATACATTATTTACAATGAATACAGTATTCTTAGAAAAGAGGCTGATACAATATAAAGATATAGCAATGTGTTACCAAGTTATAAATTCTGTGAGTCAAAGTATCACATACCACTACTCCATCCAGAACATCTACGTCGAAGATACATTTTCAAATAAAACATGTTTGTGCGCGCACACAAAGAGTACTGCAGACTAAATGTGGATCTGAGTATTGAACAGTGGCAGACCAGGAAGCCAGTTCTGACTTCCCTGCACATTTTCTAGCATCTGAAGTGATCAACTACACAAGCTTGCATTGTACGGATAGACTAATAAGGAGTGGGGGTGGGGGAGAGGAAGGAGAATGAACAAGTTCCTTTTCAAATGTCATAAAGATATGTGGAGAAAAAGAAGCAGAAGGATGTTTTGTTCTGTTTTTGTACTTCCAATCACATCTGCATTCCAAATCTCTGAAGACACATATGTAAATTTTTATTTTATTTTCAATTAGATATTTATAACCATAGTATTTTGCAGCAATCAAATTCATTAGGCTTTACTGTTTGCACAGCAGTGCTGCTTCACAAAATGCCAGACAATTTCTAGCTTGCTTGTCCTCACAAAAAAAAACAACCCTAGACACAGTTCAGTGTGCCCTTCTTTTACTTGAATTTCTTCAATGCCATTCTCCCAAGCTGTGTAACAAAACTGTTTTGAAATAGAAGTTGGCTTTGAAAGCAGTTTGTGATGTTGCATGGAAGGATCTGGCATTCAAAGGGGGGGGGGATCCTGCTGGGCCTACCCAAGAGTTTGGGTAGATCTAACATAACCACAGTAGTTTGACTGAATCCACCCTGTGAATCTAAAGTAGGGATTTAAACCAGGCATTCCAAATTCAAGCCGGTGTAAGACTCCAGATGGTGCTTGAGTCTGGACTTGCTCTTTATAAAAGTCAAACTCTATTTATCTGATTTTTTTCCTGATCCTATTTTTCCCTGCATCAAAGATGTCTACATTCCCACCATTTCTTTTTTTAAATACCCTACTGCAGTTACTGTAGTAATCCTGTATAAATGGAATTAACTCTTAAATTGCAGCAAGGTTTTAAGCTCTAAAATGGCATACATCAAGCAGCAATGGCTGCTGAGACAACCAAACAGAATGGGAGATATTCAGTAACACAAACCACTTCCTGCACTCCACCACACCCAGACAGCTACCACTGATGTTCAACAATTTAATAACAAATGAATCTTTTGCTGTAACCGAGAAATAAGATTACTGATATCCACACCAGTATGTCTACCAATATAACCCAAAGGGTGACATAACTGTTAGAAGAACAGAGACAAGATTCTTCGTTGTTTGCATTTGTAAAGTTCACTCTGCAATTGTGAGGAAGTCACAAGACTACAGCTAACTTGTGAGCAAAAGGCTTATCACAGTATCTTCTCACTATATCGTTACTGTAAGTTACCACATTCCCCCAGGAGAAGCAGCCAAGAAGAAATACAGCCAAGGCACATAGCCTGTGACTCCATCTGTTTTAGAATGAGTTGAGGCAATTCTGCCCTTGTTGGGGCATAAGGGCAGGTGAAGCCACAGCACAGAATGAGTGCTTGGAATGGCTTTCGGATAGTACATACCAGCTAGAAAGGGAAGTTAAGGCGGAACAGGCCTTTCTTTTACCTGTTCCCTTCCAATTGCTCACTCCATGTTTGGCCCCAAAAGGCCAATCTACAGAACAGGGACAGCACCCCTTCACACACCAACACATGTTTTTATATTATATTACCTGCTCTGTCATCTGTGATTCATCCAATATGGACTGACTAATAGGTGGAGCAGCTGCACGGCAACACACCATTACTACCTTGATGGGAAGTTCTTTTAAAATATTTACAACATTCTTGTGATTTTCTCCAAGCAAAGATATTCCATTTACCTGTTGACAGAGAACAAAATATTTAATAGAGACAAAAAGGAAAAATACTTTTTAAGGAAAGCACACTGTAATCCCAGGATTTAGCTTTTTTCTGAATAAAGCCCTATAATAATCTGAAGCAAAATGAATATGTTAAAATAAAGTTCAGATTCTGAATATATACATGTATACATTTCTGTCAATGGGATGCATAACATACCACGCATATTCATATAGGGTTGCCAAGTCCATCTTCTGCCCCCAGCGGGGGACTTTGGGGGCGTTCCTGGAGGGGGCAGGGCATCGCTGACGTGATGACATCATGTTGGGGACGTTCGCTGCCCCCTGCCCCCCCCGCGTGCCCAATCTCCAGAAACGCCAGTTTCCTGCACTTAAAGGAGCCAGCGTTTCCCTTTTAAGTACAAGGAGCCGGCGTTTCCCTTTTAAGTGCACGGAGCTGGCATTTCCCTGCAAGCCTGATCTCAAGTGGAGATCGGGCTTGGGAGGAAACGCGGGTTCCATGAACTTAAAGGCAGCCACCCCTCTCTCTCTCTTAATCATTTATTTTCATTTTTCATAAAAGATAACAAGCATATCATACAAATATCCTCATAATCCTTTCGGAGTCTTATCCATCATGTTCAAACCATACATAAAAACGCATCCATCTTTCCGCAAATACTTTATCGTCCTTCCCTTTAAGCATTAAGCTTAACTTATCTATTTCTGCCATTTCCAATAGTTTACACATTAAGTCTTCTTTCTTCGGGATATAATCCTGTTTCCAAAATTTAGCTAGCAAAATTCTTGCTGTAGTAAGAATTATCACAATCATATATTTATCTTTCCACCTGTAGGAATCTGATATCATGTTTAACAACATCGTTTCCGGAGTTAGCTGAATTTTTATATTTATCATTCTCCAAATTATATTCTGAATCATTTTCCAAAAATCCTGCACCTTTGGACACCTCCAACACATATGAATGAAGGTACCCACGTTGTTATCACACTTCCAACAATTCTTGGAAAGTGCCGAGTTACACTTGGCTATTTTATCCGCGACCAGTACCATCTATGGAGTATCTTGTATATGTTTGCTTTGTAATTGGTACTTCTCATTAGTTTTATTGACTTCCAAGTTTTCCTCCAATCCTCTATATTTATTTCATGCCCTACATCCTTACACCAAGCTTTCATTGTATTGGTAGCCCCCTCTTGTACCCGATCTTCCAATAACCATTTATACAATTTTTGAATCATTTTATCGCTGTTTGATGCCCATATTCTGTCTAACTGGAGTTTGCCATCCTCAAACCCTACTTTTAGATCTTTGGCATATATGGACTGTAGTTGGAGTGTCTCCCACCAAGATAGTTCTATTTTGTTCTGGGACAGTAGCGCCTCTCTGGATTTAAGATTATTATTTTTATCTAGGAGGGTGTCGTAGCTTTCTCTATCCCAAGGGTCTAGAAGTGTTGGTGTAATGAAGGCCTCTAGCGGTGACACCCATCTTGGTGTCCTTTCATATTGTTTTCCTTTAATCTCATTCCATACCCGGATTAGCGCGCCTCTTAGTATGTGATGTTTAAAGTTATAGTGTATTTTATCCTTCCTGTACCATAAGTAGGCGTGCCATCCCATTCTTAGGTCGTGCCCTTCAAGTTTCAAGTTCCTAATGTTAATAAACCGAATCCAATCCTTAACCCAACTTAACGCCGCTGCCTGATAGTATAACCTCCAATCTGGGAGTCCAAACCCTCCTCTTTCCTTTCTATCCTGTAGGGTTGTTAGCTTAATTCTAGCTCTTTTGGGATACCAGATAAATTTCTTGATGACTTTCTCTAAATCTAGAAAAAATTGCTGATTTCTTAGTACCGGAAGATTCTGTACTAAAAATAGATATTTAGGTAACACATTCATTTTGACCGCGGCTATCCTGCCCATTAATGATATCTGTAGTTTTTCCCAATGATGTAACTCTCTTTTAATCTCTTCAATCAACTTATAATAATTGTCTTCTATAAGGGTTGTACTTTTATTAGAAACTATTATTCCTAAATATTTCATTTTTTTCACTACTTCCATTCCTGTTCTTAGATTGATTTATCAGATTAGCTGTGCAATTTTTAGTAATTATTTTTGTTTTATTCTGATTAATCTTTAACCCAGCTTGTTCTCCAAATCCCCTTACTAGTTCCAGCAGGTAGTTTATTGTCTCTGCAGGCTCTTCCAAGATAAATACTATGTCATCTGCATATGCTATTACTTTAAATTCCTCACCCTGTACCTTTAGACCACGTATTTGTTGGTCTCTCCTTATCATGTTGTTTAATGTTTCCAAGGCAAATATAAATAATAAAGGTGAAAGTGGGCAACCCTGCCTTGTTCCTTTTTGGATTTCAATATCTGCTGTCATATCGCCATTTAGAATTACCCTTGCCGTTTGTTTTCTATATATTGCCCGTATCATTGCTTCAAAGTGTTCACCACATTCCCAGATCTTTATTTTCTGAAGAATAAATTCCCATGATAAGTTATCAAACGCTCAACAGAGAAGGGAGAGGGGTGGTTGTGGGTGTTGGGGGCGGGGCTTCCCCACTGGCCATCTGGCCGGCAGTGGGTAGAACCCCCCCAAAAAACCGGGGGACCCCTGGCAAACCGGGGGGGCTTGGCAACCCTATGTTCATAGTGGAACCAGAACAATATAACAAAGATAACAAAGATAACAAAGATAACAAAGATAACAAAGATAACAAAGATAACAAAGATAACAAAGATAACAAAGATAACAAAGATAAGGGATCAGTCATAACAGGGATCCAAATTTTATAAATCTTTTCATACCCTTCAAAAAAGTGACTGGTGGGGTGGGGGTGCTTAAAAAGCATGAAAGTGTTTGCATTTTCATCCCCTTGCCAATCAGCAGGTGCTCCAGCAACAAAACCATAATAGCATAATAAGACATCCAAATGCAGCTATTGTCTACTGGAAGCCAGAATTCAATGTCCTTTCTGGTGTAACTAGTCCTAGCCTGAAATTTCAAAGTGAGGGCAGTATGGCTTCACTTGCCTTCACAAATTTCACAATGTAGCCAAGTCTGATAAGCTCTGTCATTCCATTATTACATTTGCTATGCAGTCCTTGACTTTCTGGGATTACAAAGTGACAAAGATGAAACTCTGCAATAGTCAAAAGGAGCAGCTGATTCAGGAAATGATTGCTGAGAATTGTACAAAAATACAAATCAGCAGAAAGTAGAAGGCAGAGTTTGTTTCAACAACTTAAAAGCAGAAAAGTATTGAGAGGGTGAAAAGACCCTCTAGTGGTGACTTTATGAGCCTCGTATCAGATAACCTAGTACAATGTTATTTAATTGCCAGGCCTAATAGAGCTACAGCAAAATAAGGCCAGCAGTCACGTATATGGATCTGTTCTTATTTGGAATTAGATTGATAAATTCTGCTTCCAGAATCAATTAATCAAATCAATAAACCATTTGTTAGTCTAGCTTAAACATCAAAGATGTTCAATATAGGTCAGAAAGGCCCCCATACTTTCATCATTCTGCAGAGTGTGCAGAACAGAACTGTTCAACTGGGTCTTTTTGTATAGGGTTATATTCAATGCCTGTAAAATTTAAGGTAGCTTTCATTGCTATTTTTTTGGTTCATTGCTATTCTATTATGACTCGTTTCATTGTTTTGTTCACTGCCAGCTGCATGTGTCATACTACTGTATGCAATATACAGTTTAGTTCACTTTTCTAATTTTAATCCCATTTTATGGCACTGTTTATTGTATTTATACTGCTCCGATATTGTTAATGTTTTCTTATGTGTAATTCACCTTGAACGAGTCTCAGTGAGAAAGGTGGACTATAAATGAAGTCAGTTAAACAAATATATTATGCTTAGCACAATGTTTAAATGCAAAAATGGTACAGATTTAGAGTTCATTAAAATGTGACATTATGTGTTGGGAGATTATTTGATTTGGTGACTATAGATGAGAATTCCTGAAACCTTTCTCCTTGTTGCTGCACTTAATTTGCTGTTCTCTGTAATTTTATTTATGTGTTTTACACTGAAGATATTCCGCATGATTTTTATGTACTTTGGTGTATTTGGACTATTAGTACTTTCAGTTTAAACTAGCAATGGGAAGCGATGACAATAAGTAGTGAGGCAACTGCTGCACAGCAGGTTTCCTCAGTAAAATCAGTAAAGTACTCTTCCCCTCTGGACAACTCTAGAGAACTATAAAAAAAAATTGTTAAAAATTCATTTTGTAAAATGGATTAAGTTTAATTTGTTGGTTATACAGATGGAATGTAACCTCGTTTTTTGTTTAAATTATGAAATTGAGTATAATATATAGGGGTATGAAATACTTTTATGAAATATGAAATATATACTCAATAAAAATATAATTAAAAAAATCATTTTTTGAAATAAAAGGCAATATTCTAAGCCATCCTGATGCCAAATGAAGCATGATATTCCATGTAATCCTCCTCCTATCTTGAATTGAAGAAGGTGACTAACCCTGGCAACAAATAATCAATTTAATTATGACTGTATTCACATGACATTGTATAACAATGACAACATAGTCCTAAACAGAGTTATACCCTTCTAAGCCCATTGAAGTCAATGCCCTATGAATCACCCCAAGTCTCTTTGATGAGTCTGGAGGTCCTCTGTCTGCTTCACGTCCCTAGTTCAAAACCACGGCAGTGCTGCTTCACATTGCTGATCCAGATAATGAAACAAGAGGATGAATAGAGAGTTCAAAAACCTCTCCAGTTCTCAAGCCAAAACAATTACTTACAAGATTAACATGAATTTTCATTTTTCATCTTTTTTAGAACAGTAAAGCTCCCAATCAATTAAAGCAAAATGAAACCCCTAATTGTCACACATTTTGGTTTGCATGGAGACTACCAATGCCTGAGCCAGACCAACTTTAGAAAACATGGTGCCCTAAGAAGCATTGCTGAGACCCAGCTGCAGCACAGGAAGCATGTAACACAAATACAAAGAAGGAATTTCTAAATCACAGTTTGAATTTTTGTCACTATTGTCATCTGTTGGGAATGTCTCGTCCTCAAATACTACTGAATTAAACTTGTTCAAGAGGGTAGATCTGTGGGTTGTTCTTGGTTTTGGTGGGTTTTTTTACAAACTGCATTCATAGGAATGAATTTTGCACAGCAGAAGTTCATAGCACCCTCTTGTTTGTTATTGTGAAGTTGTACAAATACCGCTGTTGTTAAGTCTTTTATACCACTAGCCAGATTTTCCCTCTAACAGCTCCCTATGTGGAGACACACTAATATCTACATGCACAAATAATAAACACAAAAACTCAGGAGAACATCTTGTAAAGAGCTGAAGTAAATCAGAAATTGTTTTCATACTTCCAGTAATTCATCTCCGCTAAACAGCTTGCCGCATCGTCCAACTGGTCCTTCTGGCAAAACAGATCGGATAAAATGATGTCCCACTGTTGCTTCTAAGCTTATCCCCAGTCCACTGCTTTCACTAAACTTGTTCACGTGAGCTACCTGGAAAGAACACAAATAATGAATCTGCAGAATGCTATAAATCTGTTGTTTTTAAAATTACACTCATACATAGAAGGGAACAGTAGATTTCCAAGCAGCAACCATAGCATTTTACCACAGATGCTCAGCTTCCTAAACTACAAGCTCCCTTCTTTCAAACATCATCCCTTCTCATTGATTTCTCACATCAAAACAAGATGGAATCACAATGTAGGTTGAAAGGGAGCAGCCAGCTGTAACGTCCCATTCTCCTTTCCAAAGGGTAACAGATGCTGGTAGCTACAGCTGCCCCAGAGATGAAAGGTAGTCAGAGGGAGTTACAAATAAATGGAACGAATGCCACAATCAAAGGCCCCACACCTCCCGCTATAGCAGAAGTCAGCTTCCACGGGTGCCATAGGAACAATGGCTAACAAATACAGTATTCTGAAACGGAAATGTCTCCGATGTATCATAAAAGCCCTGGATGACAGATTCGGCACCAATACTGCCCACTGCTGTCACCCCCCTGGGAGCAGTAAAGCACACACAGGACGCACACCTGGCAATATAATCCTCTATGGGTTACTAATTCCCAGGTGGAGAAACATCTGTGGTAGTATGTGAAAGAGAGTTGTAGCAATGACCCTGCCCCTGAATTATGCTTAAATACCCTTTTTTGGAACTTTGGGTGTGTTCAAGGCTATAACACCAAAGATGCTTCTTGGACCATCTTGGACCAAGTACAGGACTTGCTATAAATTCTGAAATGAGATACACAAGCTAGACATAGGATACCTTGTTGTTCAATCACAAGTAAAATGATAGCTAAATAATGGATGTGATTGCCTGTTTAGTGTGAGTCACCTTGAATGTGACAATTTTGACAACACACCAACTCTCTGGCACACTGTGGCCTGGATGGCATGAGCAGGTCTGAGTGTGTAGGTGAAGAATCAGAAAAGGAGTTTAGTGGATCAATTGCCCCTCTTCAATTTCAACCATACAGTTCTCAATCCACACATTTAAAGTAGCAACTGTGGACAAGGGATATCCTAGAAAGCATGATTCACTTTGAATACTGTTTAACCTGAATGCCCTAACAACAACCATGGGCAGACTCCCTAACAAGGCAGACTATTTTCTTTCTAAAAATCAGAGCTAAAAGTATTGTTGCAGTACTTTAGCTGTAGTTCTTCCCACTCTGAGCTATGCCACAAAAAGGTAGAAGTATGAATTGTCAGCAGATGGCCAAAATGGAAGTAGATGAAGTGAGAAAGGATACTTTAAAAGAACGGTAGTTTCGTTTTAATTCATAAATCTATTAAAATGTCACAGTCAGAATCCATAATATTATATTTAAACTATAAATAAAATTGTTAAACTTACAGTGCCACCCTAAGCCGAGTTACACCCTGCTAAATTTATGGACTTCACTGAGCACAGAAGGGTGTACTGCTTAGAATTGCACTGTCAGTCTCATTTGCTTTTCTCTACTTCCTTTTGTGACAGAACCATACTTGATGTGCACATGATATTCTTGTGAAAAATAGTAAAAAGAATGTTACTCTCTCAGACTTCAAATTATTGCCTGAAATCCAGCACACAATTTCTTTAAACACCTTTCACCTTGGGAAAGGGGATCACTTTGGATTCAGACTGTAGGTATCAGTTTGATACAAAGGAAAATTAACTTGAAGTTCTTGGTATGTTTACATCACCTTATTGTTCCTTATACCAATTCAGAGGTCTAAAGGTCAAATTATATGTTACACGGGCAATCCCAAAGTTCCCTTTCATATAAAAAACCAGGTAGCGTAGGCTGATACAGATTGGAGACATGGCCCTGGGACACAGGAATTCCTCTGGCATTTCCCAAGTAGGAATCCTCCCACGCTCACAAGTTGCTATTAGCTGTGGTAGAAAAAGCTATAAAGACAGTACAGGTGACTGTCTTGTCCTCTACATGGGCTAATAGCAGCATCAAGCCCAATTTCTCTCAGAGAAACATAATGGTGACAAAGGGTTAAATTATTCCACACCCAGCACTGTGGCCCCAATGGAAATCAGGCCCCTTGTGGCTGGTTTTTAGCATTAATGGAAACATCTGGAAGCCCAGTCACAGACTTCCCCGTAACTTCACATAAGAGGCCTAAAATACTATATGCCTTACATCTGCTCATAATTGAAATGTGATATTTACACTTGATTTCTCTTGACATTAAATCTCCCATTAATAATCGTTCCATGTAATGTAAATAATGAGTGAGAATCTCAAGTACGCTCTGTGGTATCTTACATAAAAAATGGTATGGGGCCAGCTCATTATCACTCACAGATACCCTGCAAAGGGTGAGGCAAATGTAAATTTGATTCAATACATTGGAATGCTGCAAGGAGTCTTGACTCCCCACTAAATATTTATATGTTGTACATGTACTGAAGCCTTGTTCTGGATAGCCCAGGCTAGCATGATCTCATCAGGTCTCAGAAACTAAGCAGTGTCAGTCCTGGTTAGTATTCAGAAGGGAAATCACCAAAGAAGTTCAGGGTCACAACTCAGAGGCAGGCTATGGCAAACGAACATCTCTTGCCTTTAAAACCCTACAGGGCTGCCATAAGTCAACTGCAACTTGCACCGCCACATGAAGTGACATAAAGACATCTCACATTTCACCCATTTTGGGACACCTCTACTCTACACACAATATTCTTGCTAAATCAGATCAGAAATATTTGAAGGGGTACAAATCATTTTCCCTAGAACCCTCTATTTTATTTTCTATTCGTACTAAAATATGTTATAATTTTTAAAAAGATGTTTAAACGTTAAAAAGACTAACACAAGGTTCTTTAAAAACAATTGAGAGAAACTTACCTATAAAGCACAAAGACAACTATTAACAGTAAGACCTTGAGTTTACATACCACAACCTCATAATTTGTCCCCACAATCCTCTGCCACTTGTTCAGCAATGCCTCTTCTCCTTCTTCTGTGGACAATAGTTGAAAACCTGAAAAATGCAGTACAGAAGTTTAGGGATACAAAGATAGATTAGATAGACAGACAGACTGACAGACCGACCATTCATAACAGTGTTGCTGATATTTAGATAATTTTTATTTATTTATTTATTTATTTATTATTAAATTTATATCCCACCCTCCCCCGTAGGGCTCAGGGCGGCTTACATGGCAAGAAATCTTGCTAGTAAAACATCAATAATTTAATAACATTTAAAACATATTATACAGTTTAAAACCCTCTCAATGCATTAAAATGCTCAACTACAATTCATCCATTCCGGAATCTCAGAGAAGATGACAACCACATCCACAACCAGACATCCCCGGTAGGCATTCCATGTCCTCCATAATAGATGTTAAACAGATGTTTCTTCCTTCCTTCCTTCCTAGGGCCCTTCCCCCCCCCAATGATGGTAATGTAACCGGGGCGGCGGCGGCCCCTAGTCGAAGGCCTGGTGGAAGAGCTCCGTCT